TCCTCCTTGCTAGGGACCAGTCACTGCTGTTCAGCTCCAGGTACTGTGTCCCTACACCTGTGGGATGAAGGCAGGATCCAGACTGGGCATACCCTGTGTTTGGAACAAAAGGGCATCAACCTCCCAGTGGACATAAAACCTCTTCTTCCCATCTTTTGAGCCATGGGAAGGAGCCTCACTGCTGGATTTTCCAAGGTGGATCTGGCCTTTGGAGAGAAAAAACAAGCCAACCCCTTCAGTTGCATAAAGCACACTCTGCTGGGCACTGCCAGGTGTGGGTGTGCATCTCCATAAGGAGGAGAGCAGGGACACTTCTCACTAGTTTGCTCAATGTCCCATCCAAACTCGCCTTGACACTGCCAGGGATGAGACATCCATAACTTCTCTGGGCAACCTGTTCCAGTGCCTCACCACCCTCACAGTAAAGAATTTCTTCTGCATATCTAAACTAAATCTCTCCTCTTTCAGTTTGAACCCATTTCTCCTTTTCCTATCACTACAGCTCCTGATGACCTTCAGAAAAATAAGTCAGAGGACCTTTCCCTCTTAATCATAACAGGAAAAGACTGCCCAGTCCATTCAGGGCAAATATTTTCCAGATCTGCTTGTCAGTTACATGATATTTTCTTTCCTACAGCATGCCTTGAGCTGAGCACTTCCCATGCTCCCAGAAAGGAAAGGCATGTGTTCTAGCACCATTCCCTATCAGTCTCATAACCTGCATGAAAACAAACCTGTTTCATAGCTGCTGGTGTAAATAGCCCAGGCACAGGGCTTGCAATGTGACTCAGTCATCAGCAGCTGGCAAATGCCACTGTCTGTTTCCACACCTGACACACACAGCCACAGACAACCTTGCCATATCTCTCTCCCCTGCCACGCCTTCTTCAGGAAACATTTTGCTTGATACATTTTTGACAAGTGTGATTTCTGTGCTCTGATTTGCTGTTTATGGGATTTTCATCACTGTTGTTACCTGGGTGCCCAGGGAAGACTCTGTGGGAGCTGAGTTCAGAGCATTTCCCAGCATTTCCCATTTCCCAGTGAAGCTTTCCCATTCCCCTGTGCCTGGAGGTGGGTGTCGGACCACATTCTACTGTTATCTTTGTGTTTGCATTTTTTAGTGCATTTCTTCACCCCCTGCAGGAAGATTTGAGTTCCCTCATAGCATTTTGCTAGCTGGGATCCTCCCCCCCCCTCCTCCAGTTTCCCCTGGTTCCTCTCTTTGCCAATACTTGCCAAAGTTTCTCACCCCTTCTCATCTGCCTGCAACCCTCCTGGCATTTCTGCACCATTTTGGGGGCACTCTGTCCTGTGTGACCACCCTTCACACAAAGCTGCCTGTGCAAGACAGTTGTCAACACACCAAACCTCCCAGCATGCTCCCCCTGGGACAGCACAGGGACCAAGGTGACACTGTGTGATGGATGTGGTGGCAGGTGCCAAGGGAAGGTGCCCGTGCATCAACAGTGGTTTTCAGCACTGGGCAGGAGCAGTTCTCACAAAGAGAACCAGAAATCATGATTTGCATCAATGGCTTGTCAAACAAGTTGGCAAAGACAGATGCTCCTACATGGTGCTCAAGGTATGCAGCTTTTCCTGTTTCCCTGCCTCTCTCAGACCAGCACAGGCTGGGTGCTCAGGATTTTGAATCAAAGGCACTTGCCCTGTTTTATCTGACCACTGATGCCATTGACAGTTCCACACAGGTCTCTTCTACTCTCACCAAACTCTGTATCCCCGGGGAGCAAGGCCATAGAGAAGCATGTCCAAGGATGCCATGCAGGAAATCTTGGTGTAATTCTTGGTTCAGCCAGATGTTTTGGGTTTCACTTTGACTGTCTTCATCCTGTGGTAGACTGGGACCAGCAGTTCTTCCAGCACTTTTGCCCCTTGCTTCTCCCTGTGCCCAGAGGGCACTCAAGAGATCACCCACTGTCAATGCAGCAGGATTGAATCAGCTCCCAGTTAACCCTAAAAATACTTTTTGCCCTTATTTTTTTAATGCAATGACAAAAAAGAGATTTGCTTTAAAACCTTATGTCCCTAGGAGACCAGATGAATCTGACATGGGTGATATTTTGCAGAGGCTGCAGTGAGTATACAAAGATTTAGTGGGGCCAAGACCTATCTGCCAATATCAGCAATGCTAGCAAATGAGCCAGAAAGAAACAGAGAGGGACTCCTGTGCATTCTGAGCCTCTGAACTATGAAAGCAGCAGCAAAGTCACTCAAAAAGACACAAGACTTTATGCTTGAAGTCAGCCTGGCCATGGCAGAAGACCAGGAAACTTCCACACAGTGGTGATTTTGGTAAGATGGTCCTGCTGACACCAGAGTGCTTGGGACAAGCTGACACAAGAGCTTGATTCATGGGAGGCCCTGGGGGAAGTCCATGTCCAAACTGAAGACAAAAATTCTCATTACGTGGTCAAGATCAGAGAGACCATGGAGGACCTTCAGCTGCTGGGCACAGGGCTCAGCCATGGTGTACTGGGAAAACACAGGGACCAGTTTGTGCTGGGTGGTGTGAAATGCATCGATGAATGGTTGAGCAGGACATGGAAGTCAGAAAACAATGCAGGTAATTCAGTTGTGTATGATTTCATGTTAGCAAATCTTAGCACATGTACAATCTGCTATGTCAAGGAGTCTGCCATCCATAAGGATTTTAACCTATGATCTCATCTTCTTCCTCATGTGGGTTTGGTTCTGAGAAAACTGGCCCAGGGACAATATCAGATGTAAGTCTGAGGGTTTAAGAGCTCCTTGCAGAGCTGGGCATTGCAGTTCCTCCAAGCCAACACATCCCACTCCTATGGCAAGGTGAGATGAACCCTCACTGCCATCCTGGTGCTCATCCCTGGTACCTCATTCCCTGGTGCTCATCCTGCACCTGGGGAAGAGCTGCGCCAGTTCTGGGGAGAAAGCAGCCAGGTCACTTGCAAACACTAATTATGATCTTTATCTTCTATCTCGGGAAACTTTGTCCCTGTTACACCTAATTGTCCTCTTGCTGATCTTTATGAGCAGCAGAGATAACAGCAGCCAGCCAGCCTGAAAACATTGCACATCCCCAGCAACACCCTGCAGAGGCAGCAGCCAGCATAACCCCAGCAGGAACAAGTCCTTGTTCTGGCTCTGTCTCGGCCAGAGGGTTTCCTGGTGCTTAGACAACACCTTAGTAGCCACTAGTACATTTGTCTCCATGGGCAAATCAGGCGTGGCTGTGTCTCTGTGGTCCTGTGGTTATAATCCCCCTGATCTAGGGGCTCTATCAACCTCTGAGAAGCCCCTCTGATGCAAAAAACAAGTATGTTTGGAGTGGAAATGTCAAGAGCACTGTGGTAAAGCTGAATTTTAATAATTGTGTAAGACCTGACTAAATACCAAAACTAGGCTTTTATTTGAATGTTATTTAATTCTGCAGTGACATAATTTCCTCTGCCTAATAAAACATGAAGTCATGCAGCTGCCATGAGTGACACACTGATAAACAATTCAAGATGCTTTTCAATAGCATTTTTCTCCAGTTTCCAGAGCCATCTGCCTTCCCCAGCTAAGGTTACATCATTACAGACTTTAATTATTTAGAGGCCCTCCTACTTTAATGCAATTGTTGTGTTTGGCTGTCAGTTAGAGCAGAAACAGTGTGCAATGAATAAAGTCAGCAATTTTCTGTACTAATTATTTATTCAAATTCTCCAACATTGAGAGCTTGAGGTGTATGCTAGGTTCATTCTTCCTTATTTTTAAAAAGAATCAGAACTGCTTATGCATTTCCAGTGTGTTCTCCTCCTGTCATCCCAGCACTTCTGGTTTGGTTGAGAAGCATAATGACTTTTTAAGGGAAATTTTGAGGAGGATGTGGCCTGATGTCACCTGCATGTGCAGGACAGGTGTGTGTGTGAACACCTCTGTGTTGACCATTTATTATTGACAACAATATCTGTCTCAATACATTAAGCCTTTACTTATTTTACAAAAAATAAGAGAATAGACAGAGAACTCCAGTTTGTGTCAGTGCTTTGAAAACTCTGTGTTTGTTAGAAGTCAGAAAAAGAGCTGTAGCTGAGCTAGGGAGCCAAAGAGTGAGGGAGGCAGGAGGTCAGTGCAGAGAATGTGGAGGGAAGCCTAAATTTATGCTCAACCTGCTCACATGTATTGATTAAGTGTTTTGGATCAGGAACAGGCGTATATTACTGAGCAAATATTAAAAGCTATGCAGGCTTCAAGGGGAAGCCTCTTTCCTCTGGGAGTTGCTGTTGATTACTCATAATTAGTTGAGAGGTCAAAGCCGACCAGAAGATCAGATGAAAATTTATGGAAGGAAAATATGAGGAAAAACAAATAAGGAACCATATTATTTGATTCCTGCTGCCGGTTTCAAGCATTCATTACAGAAACCAATGAGAAAAAAAAACGTTTAAAACATTCTTGTCATTTTGTCTAGTAGACCATCTTAATTCTCTATCACCTGGTTCTATCACAGAATCCTTTGGCTGGAAAAGACCCAGGTGGGGGTCGGGCTCTTCTCTCAAGGAACCAGCAACAGGACAAGGGGACAAAGCCTTTAGTTGCGGCAGGGGAGGTTTAGGTTGGACGTTAGGAAAAATTTCTCCACAAAAGAGTGATCAGACATTGGGAGGGGCTGCCCAGGGAGGTGGTGGAGTCACGGCCCTGGAGGTGTTTAAGGAAAGACTGAGCGCGGCACTCGGGGCCATGCCCTGGTTGACAGGGTGGTGTTGGGCCATGGGCTGGGCTCGGTGACCCCGAGGTGAGTTCCATCCCGCTCGGTTCCGTGATTTTGCGATCCGGGGGCTCCGCACGGGCCGAGCAGCAGCAGCCGCGGCTCCCCCTCATCCCCTCAGGCCCTCACGGCGGCCGCCAGGGGGCGCTGCGCGGCGCGGGGGGAGCCCCTCCCTCCCTGCCGGCCCTCTGTGGCTCCGCGGGGCGGGGGCGGGGCCGGGCCGCTCTCGCGATACCCGCGCGGCGCCGCCCGGCCCGCGGTGCCCGGAGGTGGCGGCCCGGCCCGGCCATGGCGTCCGACAGCGACACCGAGGAGTTCTACGATGCGCCCGAGGACGTGCACCCCGCGGGCTCCCCCGCGCCGTGAGTTCGCCCTGCCCTCCCTCCCCTCAGCGCGGCCCCGCCGCCTCTGGGCAGCTCCCGGGGGTGCGGGGGGGAAGCGGGGTCAGAGCGGGGCCGCGGCCCCCTCTGGAGCTCGGGGTGCGCTCGGAGCGCGGAGGGTGCGGGCACCGAGCGGGGCTCGCCCGGCGCTGCTGCGGACGGCGGCGGCCGGGAGAGGGAGGATGAGCTCATACCTGCCTTCCTGAGGCGGGAGCGGGTGTAGGGCTGGGAGGAGACGGGCGGAGATGGCATCGGCATTGACAGAATAATCCCTGAAATGCGATAAAAGTAACAGATTTTCTGAGGAAGGAGAAGAGAGCGAGCTTCGTCAGCAACAGGCAGCTGTTGCTGCGTGAAGAGCAACTTCTGGTGTGCTCTGTGCTCTGTTTTTAGTGGTGCCTTTAATACTTTTACTGTTTTTAATGGGGACTGGGCTAGATTATCTCCAGAGGTCCCTTCCAGCCCTGACAAATCTGTGATTCGGTGTCGCTTTGATGCTCCTTGCTCTAAGCCAGCTGGTCCCTAGTGAAGGTTTCCCAGCGTTTTGTGGGGTTTGTCCCAGTGCTGCTGCCTCAGAACGAACCCTGACACTGTTGTTGGTGTCAGCCAAATGTGCCCCTCTTGTTGGAAATCTCTGGCTGGCTGTGTGCTGGACAGGTTGTGCCCTGTATCAGTTCTGGTTTTCGTGTAGCCTGGACCAAACCTCTTCAATATTTTACGTGGTAGGATGAGGTTTCACATGGCCTGTTTATAGAGTAATAGATATGGATTGTGGGATCCATTTGAAGCTCTAATACTGGACCAAGGAGCTTGTTTTAAGCTGTGACTCAGTGGTCACTGGATGCCTACAAGAAAGGAAAGACTAGATCTTTTCTCCTCACCTTCAGATCCTGTATTAAAGTTTTTCTGAGCTCAGCTATTTAGCTGTAGCCTGGTGAAAAGCACATCTTAGCATGCAGTTCTGCAAGATGTGATAAGCCAGATTCACAGTGCTTGTACTGAAATGAGGTTTTTCTCCAACTGCTTACCTCCTGGTAGAAATACTGATGAAACTCTTCTCTGAGTTGCATTAACTCAAAGTAAACAGCTGAAAACTGGAAACAGCAAAAACTGTTCAATAAGTTGAAGCAGCTGAAACCTGTCAAGGTTGGGACAGAGAGGGTGAAGGTGAGGGATTAGTGTGACTAGAGACCACAGACAGGAAAGGGGAAGCAGGCTTTGGTAGAAGTGAGCTGTTAAATCTGCCCAATTGCACATCCACCTTTTGTCTGAGACAGATCATGGCCTGGCTTTGCAGGTTTCCACCACCAGTATCTAAGCAGAACTTGATAATATGAAGTCACTCACTAGAAATTAAAGTGAAAGGTGCTTTTAATTTCTCTAGTGCTCTTCCATAACCTGTGTCAATGCATCATTGACTCAAGTCAATAGAATTCTGTGAGCCTGAGTCAAGTAAGGAGGTGATGTCTGTGAGTTTGCAATACAGCTGCTGGTCTGTAATTCAGTCTGTTGTTGAATCTAACAATATGGACAGTATTTTCTCAAAATAAGCTTTGAGATTTCATAAGAGCTAATTTCACGCATGCACTGGGCACTTCTAGGAAGCAGGCTGGTATATTATTTTGCATGTGTAATGATGTTGAGTGGGACCACAAAAAAAAATCAAAACCTTCTTGTTGCAGTGAAGGCAACTAAAAACAAGTACGTGTTGCCCTCTGCAGTTTCAGATATTTCCTCCTGCATTCAATGTTCTGATGATCAGTAAAATCAGCTGGGAGTCCTTTTTGGCAGCACTAGTGTGCAGCAAAGCAGTGTAGATACATTTGCCCTCATTAAAAATGTGAGGTTTGTAGCTTCCTCCCTCCCTAGCCTTTGTTCTGTGTGGGGAAGTTTAATAGCTGCTGATAGAGAAACTCTGAAAGTGGTGCCAAGTGTTCACGTCAGCTCGCTGACTTCTTTGCTGTTTACTTGCTTTATTAATTGTCTGGTCTGTAAGAGTGGAGTTTTCAAGTTGGATGTAGGCTCCCAATTCCCACTGTTAAGTCATTAAATTACTGATGCTTGAGTCCCTCTCAAGGAAAGCACCATATTCTCATCCTTGACTACATCTGTAGCTGGTGCTTTTTAAAAACTAATCAGCAGAAATTACAGAAACCAGAGTGTTTCTTTCAGATTAGAATGGTCTGAGGTGGTGTTCCTGGGTAACACTTCTGGGGTGATGACTTCTCTAAGGTGAGGTGTGTTTGGAGATGTTCTGAGATTCCTGTATACCCTCTGGTGAGGCCTGTGTGCTTCCCTTCTGCTCTAGATCTTGCCTTTTATTTCTAATCCTACTTTTGACATGTGGAGGGTGTCCACTTGTTGGACAACTAAATCCAGAGTAAAAAGGGAGAGGTAGTGTGACAGAAGATGCCCCTATTTAACCTCTGTCACTCAATTTAGAAGCACTATAACCATGGAAGGATTTAGGAAAAGATGCTGAAATGTAGAGGCCTGAACAGTCCCATGCAGGAGGACATCAGTTTTGAGAGAAGGAAAATATGAAGTAAGGCACACTTGGTTAGATGCAGGCACATGACAGATCCTCTATATTTTATTTATAGGAAAAGTGATCCACCCACTCTGAAATCAAGAACTGTTAAACCTAATTATTTGGACTTCATGTGCCTAACAGTGAGGGGGCAAGTTTGTTCCTAGTATGCTTGTATCCTAAAAATTGTTATGAGAAGCCAAGTGAAAGAGATGGTGTAGGTAATGAGAAATGTCCTCTGTTTTGTTTAAATTCTCGACTTGTAACTTCAGTAGTCCTGTACTTTAGAAGGTGCCATGATGCTTTTCCTGAAGAATTTAGTGTTCCTCTGTGTAGAAGACAGGTAAGGTTAAGTTGTGCCCATTGACATGTGGGAGGTTTTTAGCACGGCTCTTGTGTGTGTGAGTGTTTTAGCCAATGTGCAAAGCTGATGGTGGCAGCAAACAGATGGAGTGGGAAGTGTTGGTTGTGTTCAGTGCTGCAGATGCATTTCTGCACTCAGAGTTTGCTGAGCTCCCCCAGGGCAGCCCTGACATGCATTGCAGCAGTGAATCCCTGTGGCTTTGGAGGTGTGACTGCCATGGAGAGCTGCAGCAGGAGCAGTCACAGCTTCCAGGGCAGCCCCAGGCTGGAGGGAACACGGTGTGCAGGACAGGGCTGAGGGCACTTCTGGGCTGGCTGCTGAGCCTGTGTTCTGTGCAGGGCACAGCTGCTCTGCACTGCAAACACCTTCCCATCTGCTGCCTGGCACACCTGTTGGAGAACAATGTACATCCTCCAGGAAGGCAGGCACGGTTGCTTTGGGATTTGCCCAAGGCCAGTACTCACATTGTTTTTTCTTTGAAGGGCTGAATGTTTTGTTTTCTGTCACAAAACTGAACAACAACATGTTGAAAATGTTAAGCCCTCTTCAAACAGGTGCTAGGCTAGAGCTCCCTGATAGTAAGAATGGGAACTTTCCTGTGGTCTGCTCACTGTCAGGATGAATTTGATAGTGAGATAAACAATTTTTTAAAAAAGTTTCTTTGTAAGTTTGTTTGACTTTCAGACTAATCAGACATCTATTTGTGCAAGTGAAGTGGGATATTTCTTTGAATTGTGTTTAATCTTTGTAGATAACCTTGAAGCCTTCCTTTGTTAAACTGGTGTAAAAGTGGTGTAATGTAAGATAATTTAGAACTTAGATGAAATGCAGTGTAGAAGATGTATTGCTATCAGTTTATAAATCCCACTTTTTAGTAAATGTTCACACCAGATTAGTTTTTGCCTTATGTTTTCTGTGGCATATGTCAGTTTTCATGTGCTGCCTGACCTTTCAAAGCCAAATCAATATTTGATCTTTGGGTTGATCTTAAGTAAATATTTTCAGACACTTTTTTCCACTGTACATATGTTTTTTAAAAATGCAAAGGTTTATACACTACATTCAGAAAATGAATAGGCTTAAAGTGAAGGGGCATGGAGAAGGCTGTAAGTTCAGGTGGCTGGGAAGAATGAGACCATTCCAGAGTTGTGTTGAACTGCACAATATTTCAGTTACTGAGCTGGCTGACTTAGTGTAAATGTAGTAGCACATAAACAGTAACTGCTCACGACTCTGGGAGTGATGCTGCTGACAGACACACAGCTCAAATCCTCTCAGGCAAGACTCTGAACTTACCTGCCTGTATTACAAACTGATCTGAAAGTGGGGGCTTTGCCAAACAGCTGTGGAAGCTCTCCAGTATTTTAAATGCATGTAAATTCCATGCTAAAGCTTCTCCTTAATTGTGCGTGTGGGTTATGTCAAGCTAACAGCACCATGTTATGTTCTACACCTGCTAGTTTGTAACCTTTATCACTCAAGCACCTTTTTCCCAAGGTAGCTGAGTAGCCTGAGCATGGAAAGTAACATCTGGATTTGTTTGAGTGCAGATTTTCTGCAGAACTAATCAGCTGAAGAAGTCTGAAACAGTAACAGTGTCTTTTGAACCTCCTATTTTGTGTAACCAGTGTAGGAATGAGTTGCCTGTACCAGAAGGGAGGGGCCAATTAGTGAGAAGTGTCACAGTATAAAACCAAAATATCTATTTGCAGTTGAGGGATTTGTCTTATTTAGGATGTTAAGCAGTGTCTTGTAAAATAGAAGCCTGGCTGAAGCCTAGGCATTAATGGTGTAGTTATAAATATATTTCATTGTTAAAGTCATCTCATGGACTTAATGAACTGTGACACATTTCTGCCACTCCTAAGAAAATCCAAGAGTTGATAGTGGAACTGAAAATGTTTCAGTAACCAGAAATCTCACACAGGCTGAGGCCTTTCCCAGCAATGTATTCTGCGTAACAAAAAATGTTTTTCTGGCCAAAATATTTTGTCCTTTTTTGCCCATTGGGGTTAGAGCTTTCTAGGAGGATTGTACCTCAAAACAGTGTCACAGGTATTGTGCACCTGAAGTTAATATTTGGACAGAAGCACCTTAGTGTAGCATGTTAAATTAGTTGCAATGATAGAGTGTTTATATAACAATCCACTGTACTTTCTTGTTTACTTAGCTCTGCTGTATAAATGGAATCTTTGCTTTTTTGTGATTAAATGCTTCCAGATGGTAAAGAGAAGAGCTGAAATTCTTAAAAAACAATTGGAAATAGTTGTGGTTTTTTTCAGGAAGTATTGTTATTTAAAACGATTTTGGAGGCCGGAGGGGCGAATGAGGCTGAGATCTCAATATTTGTCTGTATTGCTTGGTGCCAGGTGATGCTTGGGGTTCAGTGTCACTCATCTTGGTGGTCAGCTGGGATCTGTGTGCAATCCAGGCAGTTCTTTTGGTAGTAAGCTTTTAGGGAATTAATCTGCAACTTTGTCTCTGCTTGTGACTGACAAACTGATAAAATCATAGAACAATTCAGGGTGGAAGCAGCCCGGAAAAATCATCTGGTCCAACCTTTCCTTTATGTATCAGCAAGATTCTGTAGTCAGAGTAAGCAGTGTGATTCAATATTTAAATATCTTCCAGAATTCTGAAAGTCTTGTAGAAGATGTAAGTTCAGGAGATAATAAGAGCTGACCATCCACTAATTGAATTGACTTGACAAGAAGTAATTATTTGATACCATTCCCCTAAGATACCTTGTTCTTTCATGTAATTAGTGTAGCCAGAGGTGGAGTGTGAGTGGTTGCTAATGCTAAGTCACTGTTTCACTGGGAGTATTTTGGAAAGTAGTGCACACCAGTTCCTTCCTGTTAAAGTGTATTTTGTCTCTATTTATACCAAATGTCCTGATTAGAAACAAGATCTTAGGTTTGCTACAGAGTCTGAGGGGCAGAGTGGCTGTGATAGTGGTAACTCTATGGATCAGGATTCAGGCACTTGATTTGCAGAGTACTGGAGTGTTTGTGCTTCTGCTCTCTGAGAGTTTTGTTTCTTCAATGTCCACCCAATGCTTGGCACACACATGCTAATTTTGAATTCTCTGTAGTGCAGAATGGTTGTAGTTTTGTACTTGGAATAACATCTTTTTATTAGAAAAGGGTGATAGGTGATTCCTAAAAGATTCTACTGGCAAATTCTCAGGATTTTGTAGAAGCTGTGGATCTGTGTGTGGTATAGAGGAGGGAACTTGTGTACAAGTGATGTGAAAAACATTCACTTTGTTGCTCATCCAAATTATCAAGTATACAGTTCCTGCAAAGGAAGGCTGTGTTGTAGACTGTTTAAAACAAAGCTTATTGTCTATGAACTCTACCTAAGTCTGTCTTCTCTTTCTGACAGGTCACCAACAAAAGTTGGAACCAATGTAGTAAAGGTGAGTTTCTTAAAATCAGTCGAGTGCTTGTTGATGAACACAGGGTTGAGTATTTCCACCTAATGTGCTACAGTACCCCTGACATCTGCACACAGAGGAAATTACAGACTTTCCTTGTTTTATGTAGCAATTGTGCTTGTCTTGAAATTCCAGCTTTCCTTTTATTTAGGGTATATTACAGTGTCTCAAAGCTCATTTTATTCTGAAATGTGTTTGTGCAATTTAATTAAGCTGTATGTGATTACTGAACTGTGCTCTTTCAACTGATTTGTGAGTAGTAAACAAGGCTCTGCAGCCTCCTGGCTTTTGGTCCTGATTTATATGAAATTGTTGATTGTGCTCTCTTCTGTCTCCAAAATAAGAAAAATCTTAATGTTTGTACTTCAGAAGCCTCCCCTGTAGGTTATGTGAAGATAAACCACTATATTTAGCTTAATGAGACAGCGTTGCCACTTCCCACGCAGGTAATCGGTATTCTGTGCGTAGTGACAGCGAGCCTGAATCCAGCACACAGTGAATAGGTGAGGAGCTGGAACCTTGTGCAAATAACACTCATTTCCTGCTCTCACAAGGGCCAAAGGTGTTGCTGTACAACACTTCTTGTAGGTTTGTCTGCAAAGAGTTGGGAAATCCTGGTGAAGCCAGTGTTTCAGAGCTGTCAGCAGCGCTCTGCTCTGAATCAATAGTATTTTAACAGTGATACCATATCTTGCTATGCCTCTTAGGGAGCAGGGCCTTACCCCAGTTTGTATTCTGCTTAATGTCCCTTTAATAATTAAGTATTACATGTGTAAGCCTTTCAAGCAATGTTGTTTTATCGTTCTCACTAAACTGTGTGCAATCAATGAACTTCAAAACTAACTTTAATGTCTTCATGAATTATTAGCTATGACGTTCTCTAGGTTGCTATTTGATTACTGAATTTTTTGAAGTACCTTCCTTAAGTACTTGTTCAAAGCTGAATTTCTGAAGGTGGAAAAAGTAGTAGTTTCTGTGCTTGGTATCATATCAGTTCAGTGAATGTGTGACTAATGGTATCATTTGTCTTGGAATGGGTAAGAAATATTTCCTAAGTCCGAAGTCTAATAGGTGTGTGAGTTTAATGTCAACAGAATTGGAAATTAATATAATGGGCTTCTGTAGGCACTGATTACATTTAAGTATTTATGTCATCATACACTTGAAGATAAACTTTAATAATAAAGCAAAGTAGAGCTTGCATTTAGATTAGAAATGCTTTGTGGCAGGAGGGAGTGGAGAGGGAGGAAGAATTTTTCTGTAATTGCAGCTGTCTTTGCAAGAATGTAAGATTCCATGTTAGAACCTCAGAAGCATATTTGTGACCACTTGATAGAGCTGCCTGCCTTAATTTGGAAATGTCTAAATAGTTTCTACTATATGTGGCTGGTATATAGTTCTTGCATCCTTTCCTAAAAGTTGATAAATAAAAGAGAAAATATTTTAATATGGAATTTCCTTGCTGCAGATTATTACATGTGTCTATTTCTCTGAACTCATGCTACCTTCAGTTTGATTTTAGTTGAGGTTGCAGCCTCTTATATATGACTGCCTGTTTTGTTGCATAGTGTGCATGACTCTGAAATACTTCTTATGTGTACTGAGCATTACTGTTTAAACATCTGACAGCAGTAATGTGTGAAGATGTGTCAGATTTCTTGTCCTTCATGTATTTTTTGTTAGATCATCTTCTGAAGAAGTTTTTTCTGACTGATTTTTTTCTTTTGTAGGATATGGACAATAAACTACACAAAGCTGGAAATGAAACATTTGTACGAGAAATGAAGCAAGATGATTCAAAAGAGGTTAGTTAAATATTGCTTTGAGCTTCCAGCATCACACAAAAAATATTAAATCATTTAATGATCAATATTCATCCTGAAACTACCATAGGTTAGAATTAGTTGTTAATGCTAGTAAAAATGTTCATCGAAAGGGTAAAAATCAAACTAAGTGTTCTAAAAACATATTTAGGATTCACCAGTTTTGAATTATTTGTGCAATTTACAAAATCATATTTAGCAGTACATGAGAACTCTGAAGAGTGAGCAGCTTTTGTTTCCTAACAAAAAGTAGTTTTGTTTTCTCTCCAAATATATTGAAGAAGACTGGAAATTAGTTACTTTGTTTTATCTTTTGAATATGCCCATTTCTGCACCAAGGTTCTGGTCTCCTTTTTAACCAAACTGCATTTTGTATATAAAACAACTCTTCAGTGGAAGAGTTCTTGTGGGTATTTTGCAGGCTGACTGGATTTTTTACCCAGGAAGTGCCTGCTGGTGACTGGTATAATGATTTTGTTTTGTTTCTCTAGATTATTGACAGTATTATAGAAGAAAGCCAGAAGGCCCAACAACTAGAAGATGATGCTTTAGCTTCTAGAGGAAATGAATTGACTGTTCCAACTTCAGATGCAAATGCTTGGATTTCTGGAGCAGGTATCATTAGTGATGTCCCAGAAGTACCAGCTGCTAAAATACCATTACCAGAAGACACTAGAGAACCAGAGGATCAGAGTGTGTGCAAGGACGCTGAATTGGAGTCTGGAAAGCTTTTGTTTAGTTCTGAGCAACAGGAATCTCATAAACCAACAAAAGTAACAAATGCAACTGACCATAAAACGGATGAAACTGAAGCACAAGGAGAAACATCACAAAAAGAGGACATAACAGACAAGAAAGAGACAAATACTTTAGAAAAAGTGGCTTCAGATTTATCTACCAAAGACCTTTCTACCACAGAAGAAATGCCCCCAGCCAAGCCCCCGAGGCAGCTGACTGTAGAGCCTGACATAGTTGCCAGCACAAAGAAACCTGTCCCGGCCCGGCCCCCCCCTCCCACCAATGTCCCTCCCCCCAGGCCGCCCCCCCCTGCCCGGCCAGCTCCGCCTCCCCGCAAGAAGAAGAGTGAGCTGGAGTTTGAAGTGCAGAAACCTGTTCTAGAAGGCAAGTGTTCTATTTTAGATGGGTTTATTTATCTGCAGGGTTATTATTTTTTTGTGTTTCGAGTGAAGAATCATTCAGTCCTGTGATTTTTAGTTTAGTTGATAGGTAAAAAATTATGCAACAATCTTACCTTATTGCAATGAAGTAATACCCTTCTGCTTTACAAGTGTTCCTCATTCACAGACTTTCTTAAATAGCTGTAGCTATAGCAAGGAGAAGTTGACTCATCAATACATAAGTTAAAAACAGTTACTTCAAATGAAATGTGTGTGTGGTCTGTATTTGCATAGAAATGCAAGTCAAGGTGTGGACTGAGTTCTTAGGAAAATGAGTAGTCCTGGGTTCTAGGAAATTACTATTAAAAAGAAGTTAATTAAAGCTTAAGAGGCCTAGGTGTGAAGTCATGCCTGAACCTCCAACTGTATATGAAATACATAATTGTAAGCTAGATATGGTGGCAGTTGATCGTTAAAAAATACCAAACTGGTCAGAAAGGGTGTTCAGGCCTGTAAGTGATGTTAGGATTTGATATTTATGGCAAGTGTTATGCTCTTCTTTCTAATAAATCTCTTTTCAGTTTCTCGAGACAGCTTCACAGCTGGTGGTCTTTTAACTTCAAGTTCAGTGACAGAAGGTGTGCCCAAAGATTCTCAGCCTTCCTTGGATTTGGCCAGTGCAACTAGTGGAGATAAAATTGTTACTGCCCAGGTATTGGGAAATGGTTGTGAGTTTGATGACTGGAACATTTTCTATTGCTTCAGTGATACAGTAGAGATAATGTAATCTGTGTCTGCACCATTTCAGGAGAACGGGAAAGCAGCTGATGGCCAAACAACAAATGAAGTACTTGGACCACAAAGACCCAGGTCTAACTCTGGCAGAGAGCTCACAGATGAGGTATCTATGGCTGTGGTCTGTACATGGAACACCTTTGTGCTTGCTTTCCCTGTCTGATAAATGAGTTGTTGTAGTCAGGTCACTCCTTGTTCTCTGAACCACTCCATGCTGTCACCAGGAATGCAAACAGGAGTGATGGCACAGCTGGCTTTGTCCACCTAAGAACTTTGTGCCCCTGAGTCATGTGTGCCTTTAGCCTTTGGAAGTGTGAGCTGTAACAGACTGAAATGCCATCAAGTTTGTGTTGGTAGCTATGCAAACACCTCATAGGATTTTTATGGGAGGGAACAGCAGCAAACCTGGCATTTTGTCATGTGTCTAAAAGGGGAAGGAGTCAGCAATAGCAAAATTATCTTCCTCATACTAAAAAATAGTTTCTTCTGTTAATAATTCTGCTAATCCAAATGATATTTGGCTTTTGTTTGTGTCTAGCACTGTAAGCTTTTTTAAAGTGTTGCTGAACCTTTGTCAACATCCATGAGATACCCCAAATAAACCTCCTCCTTTGTGGTGCTAGTCAGTTCTCAATTCCTTTTGTCCTTGTATGTTAAATTTGCCTTTGGCTAAACCTAAGATACAGCAGCTGGAGTAGGAAAAGGAAAGACTGCAATGTCTTTTAATTGCATAATATGTTTGATATTAGCATGAAGAGTGTCAGGCAGTGGTTGATGTCTCTATAGTTGCATTTTGATTTATGAAATTGAAGCTTGTGATATGTAGCTGTTCATCTTTGTCTAGTGATTGATAACGTTTGCACTAACATGCTAATTTAAACTTTGTCTTTGTAAAATAAATATTTAGTGAGCTACAGAATTTCCCATTAAGATAAGTAATTTGTAAGTTTTGATGATTTCTGTTTTGCTCTAGGTTTTCAAGTCTAATCAAGTTCTCTTCATTTTACATCTTATTTTTTTTGATAGGAAATTCTAGCAAGTGTAATGATAAAAAACCTTGATACAGGTGAAGAAATACCTCTGAGTTTGGCAGAAGAAAAGTTGCCAACAGGCATTAATCCCCTGACTTTGCATATCATGAGGAGAACTAAAGAATATGTCAGGTATGAATCATGAGAGCTTTCAAGATGCTGTTGCTCTCACGGGTTTTGCATAAACGGAAGCCGCTCTTACGCAGGTGAAAAGAGCCCAGATCCATCTGTCTGACTAATCTGAGCTGATTCCCAGTTCTCAGTGAACCAGCCTCATTATTGATTTCTCTCAAGTTAACTAAAACTTGATGATCTTGCTGGAACTTGACAAGCAAGTACATCTGAAAATTCACTGATCTCCAGTTAGCCTTTGATGTACTAAATGTCATTTCTGTGCTGAATTAAACACATTTTGTGTTCAAGTACTGGATGTTGTTTGTGCCACCACCTCCTGTAGCTTTTTCAGTGTTTCATAGGAGATTGTTTCTCTGAAGATCTGTTGTCATTAGTGCAGCTGACTGCTTTGAGGTTTGCCTGTTCTTAATAGAATTTTAGATCCTTCTAATGTGTAAAATGGACTCTTTTTGCAATCTTTGATAGAAAAAGACACGTGCTGAATGATCAGAATATCATGTCAGTCTAGATGTTCTTTTCAAAGGCCCATATGAACTTATATATCAGATAACTTCTAGGTTTTTTGCATTGTTGTATTATTGAGAAGCTCACTTTTCTAGAATTCTTTTGTGAAAAAAACTTCTATTTCAGGATTAACAACTATTAATTTATTTGATCTGTGGAAAGCAAGATATGAGAACAAAGTGGCATGTTACCAGTTCCTAGTAATTTAATGAATTTTGTTTGCTCTTAGCTTTCAAATTGTCACTATAAGCTTAAGTTGGAAATTTGTGGCAGGGAATAATGTATCTGACACCTGCAGCTTTAGTATCAAGATGCTTAATAATTGAAAGACCTTTATTATGTGATTAAAATAACATCCATGCTTTTCCAACTTGTTACATAGAGGAATAAAGATGGGTCCTAAAATGCATGGCCTACTTTACTAATGTTTCACTCAATTTAGATTCATTATGATATCCCATTAAACAGTCACTTCTGTATTTCCTAGTAATGATGCAGCACAGTCTGATGATGAAGACAAAATGCAGACACAGCAAACTGACACTGATGGAGGGAGGTTAAAACAGAAAACGTAAGATGCTGTTTTATGTTTTTTCCTTTCCCTAGAAAGAAGAAACATTTTATTTTTTTAAGCTGAAACTTCCCTTCTGATTACTGAGCAAGTTACCTTTCAAGTAGTCACTTTACCAGTGATACCTGATTTTACATAAGCCTGTAGCTCTGTGCTTGAACTGAAGATTGCATGACTGCTGTCAAATTTACTGCTTATTTTAAGAAGCAGTAATGAAAAAAGATAAGGTTGCATTACAAATCAAGCTTACTGATTATAGTAGCAAAAAAAAAAGACAATTTTCCATTATTGTGTGTTGAAAATGTACCCTTGTTTTTAAGGACTCAACTGAAAAAGTTCCTTGGCAAATCTGTGAAGAAAGCAAAGCACCTTGCTGAAGAATATGGTGAACGTGCTGTTAATAAGGTTAAGAGTGTTCGAGATGAAGGTAAGTGAGAATCCTTTTTTTTTTTTCAATAGGGTAGTTGGTTTATCCTTGTGCTTTTAGGAATCAAAGCTGGCAGAGGAACATACACTGCTGCATTCTACCACTGTTCTACAGTTGGTGATAGGATTTTTTTAGAGTTGAACCTTGTAGCTTAGTAGGCATTTTGAGATGAACATGTTACAAGGATAAATTCTTGTAAAGTAATAGTTGAGAGACCTTTTCGACTAAACCAGCTTAATGCTCTGATTTTTTGTTGTGCTGTTAGAAAGAGGTTTTAATATCAAAATGTACACATTTTTGGAAAGTTACTCCAGCAAAGGTAGAAGTGGCGATTATCTTCATTACTTTAGTAAATCAGATTGTTTTCTGGCAACCAGTACTACAACTGGAGCTCTCATATAGCATGAGCTCCTGTTAGATTTCCCAACTGCAATTGAATTCTCCTCTTTTTGTTTTATCAGTGTATCTTTCAGACAGATTTTTAGTGCTGCAGCAAGCTGGTATAACCACAGCCTGAGATAAATGCCATGGAAATGCTGCACTTCAGTGTCTTGTGTTGCCAGTGGCTGTTGGCCACAGCTCTTTTGCAATTCTTGTACTTCATGGGCAAATCACCAGGCCATTGCAATGTGCTCAGAGAGAAGAAGCCAATGGATTCATTTTCAGACACATCAAACTGACAGAAATCACTTAGTGCAGGATCTCCTGAATGCAAGACAAGTGCCAAGAAAGGGGGAGAATAAAAATTTATAGCACTTCTTATTTTCAGTGTTCAGTGTTTGGATTTGCTGTAGCCTAAAATTAATGCAGATGTATTTTTAGACCTTAATGCAATACTGTTCTTATTTTGCTTTAAGATCTTTAAATTGCCTATAGAAATTGTCTAATTCAAGGCTAATCCACTACCAAAAAGCTTACTAACATATTAAATAGGTGCTGCAACATCAAGTGCTGAATTTGTGTTTCTCTAGTCTTTCACACAGATCAAGATGATCCCTCTTCCAGTGATGATGAAGGGATGCCCTATACAAGACCAGTTAAGTTCAAAGCAGCACATGGTTTCAAGGGACCTTATGATTTTGAACAAATTAAAGTTGTTCAGGATCTCAGTGGAGAGCATATGGTAGGTCTCAAGTTCCATCTGTGATTTTGCCCAATCTGTTCATCCTGAGATTCAACTTCTCATTTTTATTTACTTGCTGACCTCCAAAAATGACTGTCAGGTTTATTCTCTGTGGAAAAAAACTTCGTTCTGGAAAATAAAAGCCTGGCAAAAAAAAAAAAAAAAAAGAGAATTTGGCTGGTTTGCCCAGATCTTCAGGGAATAAAAAGCATGTAGATTCCTAGGTATCAGGGATTCTCCAGAGCTCTCATTTGAAGAGTATCAAGTGGTATTTGTTTTTTCAGTTCCTGCAGTTACAACTTTAGGCTGAAATAGGCTATTTTCTTCCATCAGAACTGAGCACAGAGCAGCAAGCTTGACCTGCTCAGCAGTAAATAAATGACTCTATTAGAGAGATGAACACAATATTGAACAGAAATACTTACTAGGTTTTGGAGGCAGAAGTTGGGAGAGGTTAATGGAGTATGTGGTTCAGAACGATAAGGTGGGGAGAAACCAGGATAGGATATTGCAGAGATGCCTGTGGAGAACCAGGCAAAAAAGCTACTTATTTGTCAGTGTTTGAAGTGAGCATGCTTCCCTGTGAGTCTGGAATACATTCTAGTATTCCTGACTTCCCAAATTTCTGCTGACAGCAGCTGTCTGACATTGGAAGCAATCCTGAGGGTAATGACCTACAGCAGTCAGTGACCAGAGATTCCAAGTTGTCATCCACAAGTGAACTTTCCATTCCTGCTGGTAATCCCTGTTAGTTTCCATCATGCCAATATTTGACTTCTTAAACCCAGGAAATTCCTCCAGATTGGTGGAGCATGGTGGAGTCAAATGCCTGGTAGTTCTTTATTCAGTAGCAGGAGGAAATGGGATACTGCTTGTGTGGTTATGTTTTATTGATTAGTAACTCTTTGGACTTGGCAATGGAGAAAGAATTATCATCAGAGGCTTTGCAAAGCCCTCATGCCAATGATGAATACAACAAATATATGTAGTACCCATTTTGGTTGTAACCAATCACAGTTTCCACTTTAAAAAATGCATGCAAACCTCAAGTGCAGCTACAAGTACTTGTCAGTTCCACAAAACAAACAGGAGGTTCTGAGCCCCTCAGAAGTCTTATGTAGAACTGGACAAGTCTTATGTGGAATTCTCTGGTAGTGCTGATGTCCTGTCACTCCTCTCTTGCAGTCATCTGCCCTGTGGGCCTTTTTCTTTCTGCCCTATGCCCTTTTTCTTTCAAACTGTTTTTGCACATATGTTACACAATCCACCAGTCTTAACAATTACTTATCAGCATTTAGATCTACAGTTTATTTTACTTGTGGTATCTTGAGTATGTCTAAAATCTTGTCAGTTGACGTTGTAGAAAGTCTTTTTGGTATGCAGTAAAGCACTTTTTGTGACTTAATCATCTCTTTTATTTGCCAGGGTGCTGTTTGGACAATGAAATTTTCTCACTGTGGTCGATTACTGGCATCTGCAGGGCAGGACAATGTAGTGAGGATATGGGTTTTGAAGAATGCCTTTGACTATTTCAATAACATGCGCATGAAGTACAACACAGAAGGTATCTGTGCATGGCTGGAGCTCTGAGACACAAATTCTGGCTCTTTGGGAACCTGGTGCTGACCATGGTGTTTCTGTCTGTGTTCCAGGCCGTGTCTCCCCTTCTCCTTCTCAGGAGAGCCTGAATTCTTCCAAGTCTGATACTGATGCAGGGGTAGGTACACAAGGGAGGGGAAGAGATGGTCTGGTTTGTAATGCCAAATCCTCATTGTTGCTTTATCCAAACACACATTAAGGAGTTCTTGGCTTGTGTCTTTTTGTCAAACTGTTGTATCAATAGAAGTCTTCAATCAAATCTATTAATCCCATGTACCTGGGGTGCAAGCAAGGAAGCCCATCACTGAATTTAAAGCATTACAAAATCTGCATAGCTGTGCTGTGGCCTCCTGCCAGAGGAGATTGCTGAGTGAATTGCTAAGGGGAGAAACTCTACATCATTGAATTTCCTCTCTTAGTGTTTTATCTCTGACCATTACTTGTGGTTAATGTCTGACTTGATGTTTTTTCTGAGGAAGGCCAAAGTGAGCAATGGGATTCTCAGAAGCATAATGATACCTGACAGATTTAAATTTTTCACATCTGTTTAGAAAAAATGGAACATGACTGAAGAAAAGTATTCAGACACTCTTGCTTGTAGATTTTCCAGATACTGTAGTAAACCTTGCCATTAAAATGAATGTATTTAGGGTGGTTTTTTTTCTGGTTTTGGCTTCCAGTATTATAAGAAACAGATGACAAAATCAAGGTTTAAGTGAAGATCTTGGCAGTAGCATTATTTAGTGTGTGTTGTCTTGGCAGAGGGGGAAGCAGGGAGGCCAGCAATTGTTCTTAAACTCATGTAAATGAGTGGGCTTGCTAAGCCACACAAACCAGAGATGCTGTTTTGAGTGGTTGGGTTTTGTTTGCTTTGAGTTAGTTTTTTTTTTTTTCTGGAGAGGTTTTGTATAGGAACTTCTAGGGCTTTTAAAAATTACGATTTTACAGCGGTTAATTGTGAACTGGTCTCTTACTGGGAAGTTGTCATTCATGATATGCACTAGAAACTTGGAAACCTGAACTCACAGTTTATATTCTGAAGTGGAACACAGTTTTTAAAGTTGAGATACTTCATTCCAAAAGCTTATCTTCAGGTGTTTGCTTAAATTGCTGTCAAACCGATCCCACTGAATAAGAGCTGTAAAATAGAAAATTTAGAACTTAATTTTGCACTTCCAGGATGATGCTTCACAGCCCATTGTACTTGACATTTACTTTGGTTTCGTATTAGTGCAATATTGTTTGTTTAAATTGTTATTGTCCTTATAGTTTTTTAAGCAGTTAAGTGCCTCATGGTAAATTTTTCCAGCTAATGTTTGGTAATATTTCTGTGCATTTGTCTGATAGATTTGCAGTGCAGTTGATGAAGACCCAGATGATAAAAATGCCCCGTTTCGGCAACGACCATTTTGCAAATACAAAGGCCACACAGCAGATCTTCTTGATCTTTCCTGGTCTAAAGTAAGGCACCTTAACACAGGCTGCACAGCTCTGTGTTTTCTTTGTTTTCTGTTGTCATTTGTCACTGGAACCATACATTTGAACAATATGAAATGATCCTTGAAGTTAAGAGAAGTTTTGTACAGGCAACATTTATTCTAGCTGAAATAGTTGGAATAAAGTGAGCAACCTTCTTGTGCTTGTGTAATTAAGAGTGGTCTTAAAAAAACCCAAACAAGCCAGTAACAATTACAGTTGTGTATTCAATAATGAAAGTAAATTATTTATAGTGGGGAGATTTTCTGTTGAGCTGTGTGGTTTCTGTTCTATGGTGTTACTGCTTTTCCTGTCTTCAGTGTGCTTCACTTTTTGTGCAAAGTGTACGTGTTCTGAAGTTGCTGAACACATACATCTATTTTAAAATTAAAGACTTACCTTGCTTCACATTAGACTTATTCAGATAATTCTCCACATGGGAATGCAGTTGTACTTTTAGGAACACAGTCTGGTTGAAGCATCTCAGGCATCTCTGAGGTCTGTCATGCCGTTTCTTCTCTGAATACTTTAACTACATTCCAAATCTTCATTTTCACTGAGATTGTTCCAGAAAATTGTCTGTTACCAAGGGTCAGTGTACAGCTCTTAAGGCAAACACTGATCAGTAATGGTAATTTGGATAAACCTTTTTATCTGAAAATACAAAATGTTGAATTTCATGGTAGCATAGCCTTAGTAAGGCTCTACCAATCAAATTGCTTCTGTATTTCCTGTTACTTTTATGTCTGTTAATAAGTGTGGAATTCTCTTGTTTCACAGAATTACTTCTTGCTTTCTTCTTCTATGGATAAAACTGTCAGATTATGGCACATATCAAGAAGAGAATGTCTTTGCTGTTTCCAGCATATAGACTTTGTCACTGCTATAGCTTTCCATCCAAGGGTAAGTGGAACTGCCCTCTTACTTCTGGAGAGGTAGAATTTAAAATTACGGCGTTCCATTCCCTTTTTTTTTAATTAAAAAAATAAAATGATTGAATAATAGAGTTTGTGCAGTTCAAAAATATGCTTCATGGATAATATTCCAGGACTTTGTGTTCATCTTCACTGAACTTCACCAGGACTGTCCATGGGGTTTAACCATGTGTACATGTGAAGGGGAAAGTGAATTGTCTGTTGGCTGTACCATCACAGCTAGTAAAGTGTAGAGTAACTGTGAAAAGTTAAATTTCCAGTGAGGGATATTGTGATTAAATATTTGTGGGGAAAAAATCATAATGAGATTGAACAGATTGTCCAGAGACCACAGAATCCTTGAGAATTTTTAAAACACAACGGGATATAACCCACTACAGCCTGATCAAACTTTTGGAACTGTCCTTGTTACAAGCAGGGGAAGTGGATCAGAGACCTCAAGGGATTAATTTCAACTTTTTATAAATTTTTAAAAATACTATAATCAGGCTTCCTAATATTAATAAAACTCAAGTGGAAGAACAGTGTTTGTCAGTGTTCCCTAAACATACAGAACTGGTAGATGTATGGGAAACCATGAAAGGAGCTTTCAGCTCCTGGCAAGGTGAGTGTTGAGTGGGTAGAAACTACCTGTGCTAACAGTGAGCAATTTTCTAACCTGAGATATAACTGCATGTGTGTAATCTTGTCAAAAATCTGTAAGAATTTGAATTCCATTTACCACAAATTTCTTGAACAATTACAATCAGCTTGTCTGAGGGTTCTTATTGGGAAATTCTGTAGAAGAGCTGTTTGGAAATGGGGTGGGAAGGTTTTAAGGAAGGCAGAAACTTACTCATAGCACAAGTGGAGATGAAACCTTGTGTGTGTTCTCAGGATGACAGGTACTTCCTCAGTGGTTCACTGGATGGAAAACTCCGACTCTGGAACATTCCTGACAAAAAAGTGGCATTATGGAATGAAGTAGATGGGCAGACAAAATTGATTACAGCTGCCAACTTCTGTCAGAATGGCAAATATGCAGTGATAGGCACCTATGATGGAAGATGCATCTTTTATGACACAGAGGTAAACAAACTTTGAGGCTGTGGATTTTTTTATGTTAAATAACAAGCAGATCTAGAAGTCATGGTTATTTGAATACCAAGAAACAAACCTGTTAGAGCTTGAAGCAAGCTAATGTTTTTACACAATTGTTTCAGTTTGGGACACATTTTGATATCTTTTCAGCACTTGAAGTATCACACACAAATACACGTGCGTTCTACCAGGGGTCGAAATAGAGTTGGAAGAAAAATTACTGGCATTGAACCTTTGCCTGGAGAAAATAAGGTACTGTCTTTGAGTGCAGCTTTGGCCCAGTACTGAATTCTGATATTTATATCTAATGTTTAGTAATTTTGTGCCAAATCTTGTAACACTAGTGAAATGAGCCTTGCTGTTTGCTGATTTTGGCTAATATAATACTAAGTAGTGGTAAAATAGAAAATATATTCTTTTAATGATGTTATGCTCTGATTAATGTGCAGGTGAAAAAATGGTTGCAAATGGCTAATTGTTCCCACTCCTAAATTTATTTATTTCTTTTCTAGATACTAGTGACATCAAATGATTCCAGAATCAGATTGTATGACCTAAGAGATCTGTCTTTATCTATGAAGTACAAAGGTTATGTCAACAGCAGCAGCCAAATCAAAGCCAGCTTTAGGTAAGACAGTTTTGTAACAATGGAGTTAGGGATTTGGGAAATGCTGTGGCTGAAGTATGGAGGGTTTTGTTTAAATAATCTACATTGGCATAAAACTGAGCTTCTGAAATGTCACTTGGCTTGGAATGGAAAGGTAAAAAAAGACTGGTGAAGAGTGATGAGCTGGGAGCTCCTGTGGGTGAGTGAATGCATTTGCATCCTGTGGACAGTGAGCTGTGTGTCCTTTACTGTTGCTGTGAGGGCAGAACTGTGCTACAGCTGAGGTTGAGAAGGACCTTGGGAGATCATCTTGCTCAGCCCCCCTGCTCCAGATAAATTTCCCAGATTAAATCATCTCTACTTCCTGGGCTGGAGCCCAGTTAGTGTCAGAGTTTAGAGATGCAGAGCTGCTGTAATGCATGCCTGAACAGCTAAGAAAAGTAATGTTTTTCCTTCTTTGAATCTTTAGCCATGATTTTACCTACATTGTAAGTGGTTCAGAAGATAAATATGTCTACATTTGGAGTACATACCATGACCTGAGCAAGTTTACATCTGTAAGAAGAGATCGAAATGACTTCTGGGAAGGCATTAAAGGTAAAAACCAGCTTTTGATCTTTGCTTTATCAAAGCTCATATGATTTGAAAATTGAAATATTTTATTTGCTACGCATTTAGTGTGAACAAATTCTTAGCAGGATACATGGTAATTGGTGACCTGTCTGGAGTCCTTGTTCACAGGACACTCTCTTTGGGATGGCAAGAGATAAAGTAGTTTAGAGTTTGTCCAGTTTTAGGAAGAGATTTTGAATTAATGTAATCTTTTGCAGGCTAATTTTAGAAATCAAAATAATTATCAACCCATTATCCTTTATGGAAAAGTGACTCTGAAAACAAATGCAAACTTTCTCTTTCACAGCAGACTAAAACCAAAAATGGGTGGGGAAAAAAGCAGCTCTTTTATCTGCTCCACATACACAGTGTTTTTGGAAAATGTGGGCCATGTTTATATCAAATATGTTTTGGACCTCTTGCCAGTTAGTTTTGGGCACTTAGAGCATCTTCTGAAATCCCTAAGATTATAGAACAATGACAGTTGTTCCTTGAATTCTGAGTTTACCTGATGGCCACTAGCACTGAGATTCTTGGATATTTACTAGAAGTTCTGCCTGCTGTTCTTGTAAAATGAACAAATTCTTGAAACAAGGTAATCAAAAAAGCAAAATTGGATTGTCTTTCTGCAGCGCACAATGCAGTCGTCACCTCTGCAATCTTTGCTCCAAATCCTGGTCTGATGGTGTCACTGGAAACTTCTGAAAAGCAAGAAGCTGAAAGTAAGGGAGAAGATTGTGAGATATCAGACACCATCCCCTCTGGTAGGTGTTTAAGGTGAACTCTGCTTGGTACCATGGCATGAGCAGGAAAATATTATGATTACTTCTGATCTGGGTGGGGGTTTCTTGAGAAGAAAAGTCCTTGCAGTGGCATGGGTACATATTCCAACTTAGCATTCCACCTTGGGCAACTGTTGCATTCTTAAAAGCTGAGGGAGGATGTGAGATGAGGGGTACAGTTGCCATCCTAAGTACTTTAGGATTGTTCCTTTTACATTGGAGCTGTTAGGAGGTAGAGCTGCACCAACCATTAATAAAAAGAAATGCAGATGTTTCTTGAAATATTGGCTAGAAATCAGAAATTATAAAGGAAGAAGGGTATCATAGTGATGTCATATATTTTAATGAGAGTGTGTTTTATATATAATAAAATATATAATATTTTTTTTTTAAATGAACTAACAGTTTATTCTTGTTCTTGTTAAGGAGCTCTGAAGACAGATCACACAGAAGTGCTTTTATCAGCTGACTTTACTGGAGCAATTAAAGTCTTCATTAACAAAAAGAAAAATGTATCTTAGTTGGTTTGCAACTGACAGCATAAAGCTATGGTACTGTGGGATTGAAATTCCATAAATAATGCAGGCAAAAGCAAAGTATCTAATATAATAATGTTACAGGCTGATTTATTTTTAAATCTTTATTTTAAGGCTACTCAAATATTGGATCCTTGGAAAGCAGTGTGCCTATTAACACCTGGGCTTGTAGGATAGAGAGGAATGTGTAAGAATAATCCTGCCAAACATTAGACTCTAAACTTCCTACAGACAGTTGTTTTGCCATGTCATTGTGAACCTGCACAGGTTTCTGCACAAAATCGTGTCTGCACATGTGTGTGCCTTTGGGATGCATGCACGAATTGGAACCTGTATCTAAAGGGTTTAAGTGGTGCTTCTGGCCACTAGATGTCAGGAGCTGGGGTGGGAAAGGAAGGCTGGAAAAATGCTGAATAATGTAGTCTGATCTTTGCACAAAATTCCATTGGCGAAAGACCTTGAATTTGTAGTAGCTAATATTCAGAGTTTTAAGTTATGCAAGTTTTTGATGGGTCAGCAACCATGTGTAAATGTTTTTATAAATTTCTCAACTTCAGGACGTGAAAATTTTTTTGTTGTCTTTTAATTGTTGTGGACTTTAGATTCCTTTCTTATATATAATTTTTTGCACACTGGAGCACAATACTTGTGTAAAGAATTCTCTCATTCCGTGTTCACGGGCACCAGGATATATTCACCTTCCAGATAAAATTGAGCTGCATTAGAAAGTTCTTATATTTTACAACTATGTAAAATAAACTGTTTACATTTTTTAAGCATTGTAGCTTAAAGTTTTAAGTTCTTCTTGTTTGTTTAGTGCCACTGAATTTTGAAAGTCTTTGTAAATATTCATATAAAAAACCTATGAAGTAACATTCTGGGCATCATTACCCATGAAATGTTATTGATGGTCAAATGTTTCAGAGAACAAATGTATCATTAAACTTGGTCACATACTTGGAAATTGTTGCTTCTTTTCTGTTTTGATTTGTTAATTTGCCTTTTGTCTAAAGAAGTTTTGACCAGTTTCTGAGATCATTGATCCTGCAAGCACTTGTTACCTTCTGAGTTCTACTTTTCCTGATCTTGTGACACCTTTATTTCTGAAAGAATGGGGAATGAAGTACTGCAACTGGATATAAAGTAGAATTAAGAGTAATTATATGATAGTTTCACATAGGGAAAACTTCAGAAGTGTGCACAGAATCCTCTCCTTCCCATTAGTGGAAGAATGAAGACGTGGAAAGGCAGGAAGTGAGTCTCACTCACCATTTAATTCTTTTCTTCTCAGGTGAATTTGGCTATGACTTTGTATAGAATTGTCTTGGACAAGAAAGACAGTTCCAAGGGGTTTATTATCAGTAAAAATAGATACAAGAATGGTACACACATTATATGAAATTATCTTCAGTTAGCGCAGTTGGGTGAATTTGACTCAGAGTTGAAAATACCTGCATGAAACAAGCTAAACTATCTCAGGGTTCTTTTGTTACTTTGAGCTCCACTGAATTGACAGACTTGAGGAGGTGGCACAAGAAGACATTTGGTTTGTGCCTCCAAAAATCAGTTTCTATAATATATGCAGTATCTGTGTAAAGACTGTAACTAAGTGAGATTTCTGTGAGCTGTTCCCAGATGCTTCTAGGGTTTGTTATAGATGTTCTACATATTTATTGACTCACACAAGTTAAGAAGCTGCTTTATGCAGTACAGTGCCATCACTTTGCTTACAGGTACCTTAATTCCAGAGTCTTGGCATATTGTAGCTTGCATTTCTCTGGAACTAAAAGTCCAGACTGGAGGAGGAGGCATATGGACTTAGCACTGGGGGTTTGGGGTATGCTGTTTTTGTGTGTGTGTCCTGCTCTTTCACTCCTGCTTTTCCCATATTATAGTTAAAATAGTAAATGCCAAAATTTGGGATGAGTAATAGGAGAAGGGAGCTCTTACTAGCTGCTAAGAAATACACAGAAGAGGATGGGTCCAAGCCAGCTTTGAGTGACTGAAGAGCTGGCTGCTGTCAACGTGCAGTGTTGGAGGCACATGTGGGGCTGAGGGACATTGGGAGGGGTTCCTGCAGCATGAATGGCCTGCACTTGGGCAGTTTTTACATTTTTTATGCAGAGTCTCCTCTCTAACCTCTTCATCATCTGAATGGTTTTGGGGTTTTGTTTCAACTTGATTGCTTTGGAGATACAAGTTGAACTCTTAGTTTTGCACATTAGCTGCCAGAACTTCTATTAAGATGTTTGTGTTCGGACCTGTTGAGTCCTCAGGTGCTCATTAAAAAAGGGTTATTGTTTTTATTATTCAGGCACTAAACAAAGCTGATCTTGAGGAAGATTGACCTCCGTTTATCTTGATATTTAGCTTTTCAGCACTCACAGTTCTGGTGTTCCTCTGCATTGATCTAGTACTCTCAATGCTTTTTCCCCAGCTGAACTGTTCTGCTCAGTTTTGATGGTTCAGAAATCAGTGCCTCTTTCCCTCTCCTTCCAAAAGTTGTATTGGTTGAGTGCTATTCCAGTCTGAGTGGTGCTGTGTCCTGTCTGATCTCAGCCACTGCTGGGTCTGGAGACTGCTCTGGTACCTGATGTGCTGCCTTCTGCTGCCGTCACAGCCTCCAAGTTCTCCCTGAGGTAAATGTCGGTTTCCCTGCTGGGCCTGTCGGGTTCAGTCGTGTGCCATCACTGTCTGTAGGTCAGGGAGTGCCCTTGCACTGCAGTGATGTTCCTGGCTGGAGTACAGGCACAGCATGGATGGAGATCTATTGAAATAAAACATTTCTCTTTGTGCAGGAGGATTCTTCTCTCTGGAGTGGTTTTTTCCAGGGGCCTCCTTAACAACCTCTGTTAAGGAACAAAAGGTTGACATTCATGTCATCAAAATTCTGCTTACAGAAAGTGAGAATTCCCAGGAGGCAAAGTGAGGAGCTGCCATTGCAGAGGAACCTTGGTGCAGGAAATGTGAATTAACCCAGTCACTTCCCAAGAATCAATAAAATGAGCTGATTGGAGTGAGTGTCACAGATCTTCAGCACCTCATTTCTGCTGTGGCTGGGTCCTGGCAGCTGCTTCTGGCAGTGAGTGGCTGTGGGTGGGAACAAAGCTGTGCCTCTGTACCTTTGTCTCTTTCAGAGCTGGGCACCGAGCCCAGTGCACGTACAGAGGGACAAAAACAACAGATCGAGGAGCTGAATCATGCTAAAATTTGATTTCTAGATGCTGCACAAGTCCTTTCTTCTGACATTGAAAAGAGGAGGGGGATGTCTTTGTTTCTTTTGGTTGGTGAGATTCTTTTGGGTTTTGTTTTTTCACTGAAAGCAATGCTGAACTCTGCAGCTGGCATGATTCTAACAGTGTTAAATATATGAGCATTAGCCATAGGCATGGCAGAATCGATTCATCAGTCATGGAAGGCCACTGTGCTCTTTTTGCCTGTCATTAACAATTTGCTGAACACATATTGGAAAATGGCCACTCCTTAAATGAGCCAAAGTGAACCTAAAAGTGTAAGGAATGCTAAGCTGTTAACCTTTTGAGGCAAATGTACCTGCTGCTTCTGGCTGGAATATCAGCAATACAAAATTTTTCATGTTTTATCTGTGTCTGTTTTCTAGGTGTTTTCTCTAGTTTCATATATGATACCTTGTTTGTTTGAGAACTGCTTATAAGCACATTGCTTCATTTTGTGAAAGTGGGAACAAACTGGAAGGCTGTAGGGAACTGTTGGCTGGTTCTGAGGATGTGCTGCTGGAGTCATGAATCCATGTTCTTTATGCTGATGTTTACAGCTGCTACTTTTGCTTTCCTAGTATTTTGCTGATAGTATTGGTGTCCTGCTAAGATGCAGTGCAGGCTTTTCAGTTCACATGGTTAGAAACTGATATGTGCTTTAGTGATGGTGCTTCAGGCTGTGGTGTGGAATTCTGCTCAGACTATAATGCTCAGTAAATGGAGCACAAAAAATGAGTGAAGCCAAGTGCTATGCACAGAGCAGCACACAAAAGGCCATTCAGAAAGGAACACGACTACTTGTTTAAGCCTGTGGGTAAATTTGTCTTTAACTGCAGTAAGTGATGAGCACATGTTTAGAGCTGTGCCAGAAAGTTTGTTTTTCCACTAACCATAACTCCTTTGATTTTTGTAGGTTTCATGCATAAATTTAAATCTATCCTTTAGTACCCTCCTGAATAAAGGCTGGTATTATATTATGGTGATTAACAGAACAGCTTGTTACAGAATCACACATTATTCAAGATCCAGGGAGTCCTCTGGAGCTCTAGTCCACTCCCCTCTGCTCACCCAGGTCAGAGCAAGTTGCTCAGGCCTTTTAGTATCTCCAGGGATGGGCACTACATTTTTTGTAGATAACCTGTCCCAGTCTGTGACCAGCCTCACAGAAAGTGTTTCCTTGTTATCTTCCATTCTGCTTCCACTTACTTCCTCTGTTTGCATATCTAAATATCCCAATGCCATTTTTGTATTTTTAGACCTGCTGGACTAGGCACAGTTCAATTTGTGCCTAAGATTTTCAACAGACTCTGTTTTTATGGAAGTAACTACTCCTTCCTTTTGCTGTCTGAAAACAAATGAAGAGCAGTAACAAAGTAAGAAAATTTGAAAGGGTGAGAGATGAATTTATTGACCTGTGCAGTACTTGACTCTGCAGAGCATATTGTGAAATAGATTTATTTGAGCATTTTTGAACCCCCTTCTACAGTTCCAGTTGGCCTCACATAGCTATGCAAGGAAAAAAACATCAGGGAGTTTTTTCTTCTGCCTTTTCAGAGTTGTCATGAAAAATACTGGGCTGGGACCAGGCAGCAATGGCATTTTGACCTAAGGGGGGATGTCCAGTAGCTGTGTGCAGCTACATCTTAATTGCTGTATTCTTTGTCCAAGCTAGAGAGCTGCTCATGGGAGTTGTGTGAGATAACAATCCTCTTGTGTGTGGCAGTTATTGTAAATGATCTTTAAAGCTTTCAAGCAGAGGAAGATAAATAGGGGAGTGCTGATAAGCTGGATGTTGCTGTGTTACAGTAGAGCTCTGAACCCTGTGCTTTCCTTCCATCTCTCCCATCTGATGATCAGTTGTGCTCCAGGATGCAGGAGAGAGGGGCAGCAGCTCAGGGGATCATCACTGCACTGCTGGGCTCCCCAGTACACAGAGAGACAGGGATTTGCTGGAGAGAGTCCAACAGAGGGCTAGTCAGGGTATGGAGAGCTTGAGAGAGCTGGGTCTGCCCACCCTGGAGAGGAGCCATCTCAGGGGGATCTTGCCCATGTGTAAAATTTCCTGACTGGGTAAATGTTGGAGACTTCACGGTGGTATCCAGTGGAAGGACAAGTGGCCATGGGCACAAATGAGATAGAGGAAATTCCTATGTTTAAATAAACATTTTAAAAGTGTTGGGTTGGGTTATTTTTTCCTGTCAGAATAGTAAAACACTAGAACAGATTCAAGCATCTGCCTTTTGAGGTGTTCCCAATTTACCAGAAATTGTTCTTGCCCTTTCTCCCTGGGGTTAGGGGTGGAGCCTGCAGGGCAGTGAGCAGCCAGGGCAGTGCTGTCACTGCTGTGTGACCATGTCTGTGATGGGCTGGGGCAGCCAGGGCAGTGCTGTCCCTGTGTGTCCCTGTGCTGTGTGACCATGGCTGTGATAACTCTGTTTGTGGTGCAGGCAGCAGCTCTGCAGTTGCTGTCAGGGCTCTCCACCTGCACAGTGCTGGTCCTCACCAACAACCACGTCTTGACCTTTCCCCCTTCCAGTGTCTGGGTGTG